GCAAGTAAAATAATTTATACTAGAAAACTAATTTCAATTTTCCTACAATAATTTGTTATTTTATTTACAATAAAGACCATAGTGCTGTTATTCAAATATTTTTAAATGTGTTATCACTCTGACTTTGAAATGTAAGACTCTTCATTACCAATTAACATAAAATTAGTAATCTTTAGTTCTATAGCATCACAATACTGATTTTAAAAAAAGTAGAGAGGCATTCATTTCAGGAACATGTGTAACTTGGGTCTCAACTGTAGTATTGTAAGGTGTGTCTCAAGTATTTGTTACTAATAATAGTTACAGATTTTTTTCATTGACTCACTTTCCCTAATAAATCAGAGTACATTCAAGTTTATCCTTATAATGATATCATTTTCAGTCACATGTATTCTGATGTGCTTTCTTGAGCAGAAAAGAACAAGATGAAATTACAGAAAGCATGGCAAGAAACTGCACATCAGTGTATGTCACACATGTAAATATCTATACTAGATGAGGAAAAAATATTGAAAATCATTGACTTGGATTACAAAATCTGTTTCAATGCTGGATGAGACAATAAGGACCACCTGGTTCAACTCCTAACTCCTCACTCAGTTCAGTGCTTGCTTCATGACACCCGACAATCATAGGCTGGTCTATGCATATAAACTGGATGTTTTTAAGAATTAAAACTCTATAGTTATAGAACCCACATTTTGAAATATGGATATTTATTAAATATTCCTCCTTAAAAACTAATCATATGTAAGCAGGAGAAAACATTTATCTAAGAGTTTTATGTATTATTACATTTGAAAATACAGTTTAAAACAGATTAAGTAACTGTGTTTTAAGGTAGAGAAGAACACTAGAGATTTAAGAAAGTAATATTTAGTTTTTCTGTACCACTTTTAGGCAAATATTTGTGATTTAAATGAAAGAAATTTTGGGAAACTATCCAACAATAGATGATAATCTAAAGTGAAAAAAAAATAATTCAGGAATTCAGAAAAACTAGACATATTGTGAGGTAAAAAGCATTTAAATTTCTAACTAGCTCTCCTGAGATAGAGTAATCAAAAAACTATACACAGATATTTCTAATTTTTTGCTCTGTCTATACAAATGCAAATGTAACTCAATTTAAATAAACTTAATGTAATTATTTTAATTTCCTAAGTCTAAAATTTAGGGCCTTTTAGGATGGTAGAATAAATACAGCAATACTAGGACAGATAAAATTAAAGCTATAATGAAAAGAACTTACATAATATGGAAATTGAGGACTTTCTAAATAGGCATTTTACCTACATTGTCTCATTTCTTCTTTATAACAACCATGAGAGGCAATTTAATCATCCCCACTTTAAAGATGAGGAAACTGGTTTAAAGAGATTAAATAACTTGCCTAAAACCCCACAGAATTTCCAAATTTCTAACTGAAACCTATATTATCTGGCTCAAAAAGAAAGAATCTATCACTACATGCCGTGACCTAGCAAGAAAGATTACATTAAAATTGTCAGTATTTTAATTAAAACCTTTTAAAGGAGGAGACTATGTCAGCTTACAGTAAGTGGTAACGATGTATAGACTAAAAATTAATCATACTTTCATAAGTATATATGAATGTTTCAGAAATAACTCCAAATTATGCATGACATTAAATTTTAAAAAGCTAAATATATAATATCCCAAAAGTGAAGAAATCTGAAAATTTTTGAATAGAGGCACTAAGTAAACTTCATCCTACCTATATACTTTGAATTCTAAAGAAAAAACTTGAGAGGCCCCATGTTGTGTCAGCCATAAAGCAGTTTCATATTGGTAACTAGGATTATATTTATACTTATAAAATAAGAAAAAGTAGACCATTGCTTGGGTATGATTCTTTTGTTCTGTCTTTAATATGTCCTCTATTTATTCTTTTCCATTTTTCTTCCAGATCTTGGATGTCTCTTCGAATATATGGTAACTGAGTCTCAAGTTCAGGAAGTCCTGCAAGTTTAGATGCAAGTGCAGATATTCTGCAATGAAAACCATACAGTTGCAATGACTGGTAGAATATTAAAGAAAAAAACGAAAGTTTTGGTTATTTCCCAAAGCATTAATTCTCATTAAGTTATTTGTGGCTTTTCTTCTCTAGGGTTTTTTTACTGGATTTATTTTAAAGCATTTAACCTGTATAATAAAAATTAAAGAGGAAGATGAAAAGAAAAGACAGAGGAAGGCATGGAGAAAAACACCTAGAGCTTTGATTAAAAAATATCTAAACATCTTTTTCTTTCCAAAGTTCCAAAACTATGACTTCCTTTACTCTCAGTGATGTGGTACATTAACCATATATAAACATGACAAAGACAAATGAGATATGAAAAAACAATGAGTTAATCCAAAGATCTGTAAATTCTGAGACATAGCTCTTAATTGCAATATTTAAGAAATTAGTTATAAAAATGAGGTAAGTATGAAAAACAGATTTAGGGTACACTAAAACTGAAAAACAGGATTTGAATACTTAAGAGTGCAGAAATTTCATAAGTATTGAAAAATTACAAATACGATAAACACATATGTGAACTTATAGCCATTTCTTATTTTATTATAAACTGAAGTTCTGTATTAAAATATTCCTTTAGCAACTCCATGAAACAACACCCTACAAAGTTTTGAGTCCTATCAAAATACAAATCTAATTACTTCATTTTCCATGAAATAGTTCTTTTAAAAGTTCATATGTGTAAACTTTCTTTTTCCATTACAAAAATACACTCTTATTTCAAAATTGCATATTTAGATTGATCCAATATATTAAGTATATTATCAATACATTGCATAACTTATAGTCCCTTAAAACTGTCTTCAAAAAAAGATGCTTATTTAAAAATCAAGTACAAAACGAGAATCTATTAATGCTAGAGTCCAATTTTAAAACAAAACTTTTATTTGTATAACAAGTTCATTAAATTTTCATTTTTTTCTGATTATCAAAATACAACTTAATCATCTGGGCCTTAATTTACAAAGACAATGACTTCTTACAAGATTGCTCAATAATAGTCTCATGGAATTAAGTTATTATAGGTTTTATAAACACTAATCCCACCTACAAATGGAAATACTCATCTTAAAATATTTTGGTATGATACATATTTACGCTGATTTTCCAACTTCATCATTTCAGTTTCTCTGTTACTTAAAACGTATTAACAACTGTCTCAAAAAAATTATCGCTGTATAGATAGTTGGGTAGTTACTGAACAACTCAAATTTTCTGCATTGCTTGAAATTTTTCATAGTGAAATACCAGTGGAAAGGAAATGGCAAATTTAAAATGGTCACAGGCCAGAGTTATAGTCACCTAATGGTTGAAGATATCTCAAAGTGATTTTTCTATCACAGGCCTGGACTATTTCTTCCAAACTACTGACATCAACGTTTGAAATAGTGCAGAAGCTGCATTAAAAGGACTGTAAGTAATTTTACATGTAAATGTTTAATGCTGCTAACCATCAGTGCAGAAGAGAAACAGATTTTCACCAAAGGTCTTTCACGGAAGAAAACAGAAAACGTTTCCACTGGCCTGCGTACTTTCTTAATACATTCCCAACACTTTTGGAAATACAGGTTCAAGAATATTAGCAAAATAGTGATCCTGGATTACATAAGATATACTCAGCCTTCCTTTGCATTGACTGACAAACTTGTGGCTCTTTACAAACGTCTTTATTAATATCAAATAGGTATACCAGGACAACAACACGGCACTACTAAAATAATTCTATTTTTGCAAGTTTTTTTAAATCCTATTCCAATTCCATAGGATGAAAGCACTTTCTAGTCTTTAATCACTAAAACGGTTTTGATCTATTATTCATTTTTACGTTATACTTTTATATACAGTGGCTCCATTTGAGAAATTTTTTGGTATCTTAAAACACCTGGAGAAAAAGAGAAAAATGGCATTCTACCCCCTTAGAACAGTTGTCGAAGTGACGGTGAGATCACTATGATTATACGCACTTCTTACGAATTAAAAAGATTGAGGCTTCTTTTTAACCTAATGAAAATCAAAGGATATATTCCTTAATAACTTTTTAGATTTGGGATTGCACAGCACGAAAGGACATCATTAACGTACAAAGTAAAAAGCGACAACACAGTTAAGTCCAAATAGCGTTGTTCAAGCAAGCTGACAGTAAAGGAAGGCTCCAATGGCAGAAAGCTGACCCAAAGGTGCCACCCAAACACCTCCTGAATCCTAAATGGCAAGGAGAGAACAAAGCAGAAATTGCACCGGCTGCATTAGCTTCACTCTTAATAGTTTATCTCTTGACTGTCTTTTCAGTCAGCTCTGGCCCAGACAGGACCAGGGACCAGACAGGACTAGGGATGGAAGGTGAGGAAACTGATCTATGGGAGAAGACCTGGGGCCGGACTGCAGGGATCACGGGAGACTGAAGAGCCCCAAGGACAGGAAAAAATTGGGGAACACCCAGGGATTCAGGGTGGCCGCCACAGCTGGAGGACCACGCCAGAATAGAAGCACGCAGAGAGAAGGGGGTGCAGGAGTGATGGGCGGTGCCTACAGTCCCTCCTACACCACTCCACACCCCGCAGCCCCCCGACCCGGCGACGGGGCGGGGCCGTGGCGCCTGCCTCAGCCCTTTCGCGCCGGCACCCGCCCCCTCAGACTCCCGTCCGGGGTAGGTGGGAGGGGCGGGCCTCCCCGGGCCCTTGGACAGCCCGACCCAACACCCGAACCAAGAATGCTCTGCCGAGGGCGGAGTGGGGGCGGGAGAACCTGCTGCCTGGAGCGAGTTGGAGGAGGTGGCTGAGGGCGAAGGAAGAGCATTCCGCGAAGCCACTGCCGCTGCCAGGGCTGAGTCCCAGGCACCCCTCTGCGGGCAGGGAGTATAGCCTGGGTTCTCCGCTACCCTTCCCTGCTCTTCCCCCCTCCCACGGCGTTGCCCTGGGCAACAGCGCCCGCCGGCGGCAGCGCGAAACTCACTTACCTAGAACCTGACAAGCAGGAGCCCCTCAGACACGGGAGCCAGTCGCCACCCCGCGTCACGGGGCCGCTACAGCCAATGGTCGCCGCTGTCACGAGCCTCTACGGCCAATCCAGCTGCACTCCGGTCTCCGGGCACCCTCGAGGCCTCAGCCAATGGGCACGAGCGGAAGGCGGCGCTGCCTGCCTGCCCCCAACCCCCTCCTCCACCACCTCCCAGGAGGCGGGGCGCGGCCTATTGGCCCGGGCTCCGAAGGGTGGGACACCAACTCGGGGTCCGGGTGGGCGTGCACGGGCTGGGGGCCGCAACTCGGTCAGGGAAGGCGTAAGGCTGCAGCCGCAGGCCTCCGGGCCCCCACCTTGGGTGGGGTTCTGAGGTCTGCCTGTTCGCGCTTCTCTCTTAATCCCTGTATCCTGCTTCTCTTCAGCCTGTGTCCACGGCTGCCGGGTGGGAGTGAGGGCGGGATGCGCCGGAGGCGGACCGCGGCGTCACAGGAAACTTTGGGAAATTCGCTTGGCTGCGGCCGGGAAGTGGCCGGGCCCGGTGTGATAAGCTGGGGCCGCCTGGAAGGGACTACCCAGCGGATCGGCCGCAGGAAAGGAATTCGGAGGGTGGGAGCGGAGGCGTGATTAAAATATTAAGTGTGCCCGCAGGGTGCTGGGTGACCCCAGGAGCTGGAGCTGAAATCTCCGGGAATGAAAGCTGCTTTGGGGACGTGCACCCCGACCCCTAAATACACATTTTTCACCCTCAGAATCAGTGACTTTTTCCTGTGCATTTTACTTGCATCAGTTGTAACTTCAGAATGATTTTCAGCTCCCTCAATGCACTGTTAAGTGTCTTAAAGGCAGGAGCTGTATGTATCTTTCTCATCCCTGTAATTCCCGAGCCTGAGACCAAAAAAAAAAGGGGGGGGGGGGGGCTTCACACTCAATGCTGGAATTGTGATAGACGCTGGTCCTTATAATAAAAATCCTTACCTCTTCAAGAGTCTAGAATGCGAGAAGAACCCAAATTGGTTTGTTCTTCCAGGGAAGCTGCTTCTAACCGTCCTTCGCCAAAAGAATGTAGTGGAAAATGAATACTGTGAGCTAAACAAAGTTAACTAGGTGATGTGTAACAGTATGATAGGTATTAGTCACTAATTCAAGGGTGTGTTCCTGTGGCCGACTTTTTACCACATTGTATCAAGTACTTTGGCTGAACCACATTCTTTGCCCGGAGCATACCTAACGTCAACCAGCTCCACCTCCACCCTACACCCCTTTAAAATTTTGTGGGAGCCAAAGAAGAGGGGTGAATATATATACTAAACAGACACATTATTTATTGGACTGTTTTGAAAGCCCTACACATAGAAAAACAAATTTTAAATTGGACTTTTTCTTGTCTTCTGTTTCAAAGAAACCAGAACATGTAAAGACAAATCTTAAAATAAGTGATACAGAAAGATCTGATCGTATCATTGGGGTGGAGTAAGGAGGGACCATTGTAGAAGGTTGCCGGAGGCAACGGGTAAACAGCTTAGGATGGGATTGGCTAATAAACTGAAGCCCTCCAGAGCACACAGAATTATGGGCCAGAAGATTTAAAATAAAAGAGGGGCAGAAAGGGCCTCTCCACATCTCCTCCTGGATGATTGTCCTGTAATCCCTGCATTTCCCAGAGAATGGTATTCTGGATGGATTTTGGCTGGGAGTAGAAACTCTGGGTGCAGCCTCGGATCGGGCTGGCCTGGCAGAGGGTGTCAGAGTTATTCTTTGGATGTTCTCGAAGTGACAAGCTCTGAGGCCTGAAATCTACCATTCATCCAAAATTGTGTTGTTTTTGTATCTTATATTGTTTTTGTTTGTAAACTAATCCTATAGAAATAAGATAATTAAAAACTAAGGGGGAGAAAGATAGGAGAACTCAGGTGTTAAAGAGTTTAGCCTTACTTGATTGGCTTAAGTGATTGAAGCTGTGAGTGACTAATGTATGTGGAAAGCTGTTATTCCAAAATTGTGTAGCTTTTGAATAACGACTCCTTTATGACCAAACCTTTGCTTCCAGAATTTTGCCTAGAGGGCAGCGGGCAGTGGGACCCCATTTCCTGTTCGGTAATGTAAGGGACTTAATTCTCCACATCGATGATAGAGGAAGAGATTTTCCTTCTCTATCATTTATCTTAGAAAACTTGGCATTGTTGAGTACTTCCTCATCTCTTTGAAGATAAATCTTGACGATTTGACAGATCTTCTGTCAGCTAGTGCATTATCAGCTTTACTCCCCAGGAATGTCAGGCTCAAGGTCCTGGGATTATTTCTTTGAAATGCAATAAGAGAGATAGCACCCAAGAATAGATAAAGAAAGGTGGTATATATACAATGGAATATTATTCAGTCTTTAAAGAAGAAGGAAAGCTTGCCATTTACTACAACATGAATGGTCCTTGATGTCATTAAGCTAAGTGATATTAGTCAAACAAAAAAATACATATACCATATGATCTCACTTATACGTGGATTTTTTTTTTTAAACTCATAGTTACAGAGAACAAACTGGTCTCAGGGAATAGGGGTTGAAATAGGTGAAGGGGGTGAAAAGGTCTATACATACAGTTATAAGTAAGTTATTCATGGGGTATAATGTACAGCATAGTGACTGTATTGCATATTTGAAAGTTGCTAAGAGTAAATCATGAGTTCTCATCACAAGTTTTGAAAAAAATTTGTAACCATGTATGATGATGGATGTGGTGATCATTTCACAATCTATACAAATGTCAAATCATGCCATACACCTGAAACTAATGTTATATGTTGACTATACTTTCAAAAAATAAAAGAGAGAGAGAGATAGCATCCCTATCTCCCAGTTTCTATGGGAGAGTAGAAGCCTAACTTGGTTGGGCAAATTGGTCCAAATTGCAAAACTACCTTATCCCATAAAGATAGGAGAAGTTTGTTTTTTCTCTGGATAAAGCTAATTAGCTAATACATATAGTCATCTCAATTCTAAATAAAGTTAAGATGCATTATGTGTCCAAATGGTGTTGTCAAGGCCTTATTTGAAGACTAGCTATGGTTTAAAACATACAATCTATTAAATCCACTTGGCTATATAAAATAAAGGGTGAGGTTCTTTCTGTCATAATGCACATCACATTCTGGTTTAATGCTTATTCAATAACAAGTATTTTATTTCTCCATAACCTTTATGGAGAGGACTTCTGGATTGGGAGAAGATTTTGTTAATTTTATTTCTCCATCAATACTTATGTCCAAAATATTGAGACTACAGAGTTAAGGAAAGTAATTGCTTTTTAGTTTTAATTTGTTCTCAAAAATGATTACACATTAGTTGATACCTTTGAGACAGAATAGTGAGAAGGTAAGAAGATACCTTAGCAAGCAAAATAGGGAAACTGAGACAGATAGCTGAATACAATGGCTGAGCAATTTATAGACATGTACAGATGGTCAGGTGTGAGTGTCTGGCAGGGGGCAAAACTGGGAAAACAAGAACGTCACCCCCAGGGAACCCTCCCCCCCTGGCCTTTCCTCTCTGGAGATAACATCTAGGCCTCAGCTGTATTTCAGCTCCAGGCCCAGAAAAGCAGAGAAACCAGGTGGGCAAGAGCAGGATGAGCTGCAGTGACCGAAGACCCCCTGCCCTGCCACTGACCAGTCGGTGGAGACCATGACTCTAAAAGGACACGCACCTGGAGAACTGATGACTCTTCTACTGAAACCCTCCCCTGGGACGTCCCCTAAGGTTCCCGCCTGAAAGAAGGGGATGAAATCCTCAAGACAAAGGACCCAGCACATGCTCTCAGTCTGGGGAGCAGCCTGAGCCATTTCCTTTCCCTTCTATCTTGTCCCCTTCCTCTCTTCACAGGCACATGTCTCAATTCTAAGGCAATTGTCCAAGGCTAATTCCCTGAACTGTCCCTAAAGCCCCCTTTTCTCTGACTTCCCAGTAGGCTCAGGCAGGCCAGCCAAGGCTCTGCTGTTGCTTCCGCTATGCTAAGCTCTTCCTTGTTTCACTCTCCCCAGTTTTAATAAATGTTTCCTACATGAAATCAAGAACCCACACGCAAAAACCAAGCTCATGTGAACAAAAACCTTAAAATAGAAAAAATCTATATTTTCTGTACTATTAAATTAGTGGCATATGGCATGTCAATATGAATGAAATCAATGAATGTTTGTTCATTAAATGGTTAGATAAAGCCAAAATACAACTTTGGGGATTGTTTCACCAAGGCATATCATTTCCAACAAACATTAGGATTTCTCTACCTTTATACAAGGGAATCTAAATCTGAAAAGATGTAGCTGATGAATTAGTTATTATATATTTCCAGAAACTAGCTTTACATAAAGGACTGATGGTGAAAACACAACTGTTCAATCTACATTGTGTATGTGTTTAAGGAATTCAAATCTCTGAAAACAATAAAAATCATTCCAATTCTTCAACAGTTCTCTCAGTTCTCACCTATTCATTCAAGAAACTTTAAAAATTGTTTGAATATGCCAAACACTTTGCTAAAATATGCAATTTTGAATGAATGTACTTGAAGTAAATGAATGTGGCAAAAATCTATGCTGCATTTTTAAAGCTGATAAAAACAACTATAGGAAATACATTTTAAAATTTCCACTTTGTTATAATCACTTTGCATTGCAACACATTTGAGAAGCATTTTCTTTCACATAATTTTAAATACACTGTGCAACTTCCTTGCATCTTATAAATGTGGGTAGAATATGGAAGAATAAATGAAAATAATTTCCTGTCTAGATGATTCATGGGCTTCATAAAACACTAGCCACCCCCACAGGGCCTGGAGGGATATTATTTCAGTTGAAGTTGTTAGTATCGGATTTAAGAGATTCATCTCCTACCATTAAAATTTAGATCTATACCAGGTACTACCATAGCTTTGAAATGCCACAGTACAGCCTAGCTATAGATAAATACTAAGTCCTTAGTATATATTCCATTTTCCCAAATACCAGTTTTTGTCTGTTTTAATAACATTACTTACCTGGATAAATGAATACAATAATGTATA